ACATGATAAAGACTTGCTCAAAATGGTCACCCAAGATGCTGCCTCTTGTCCTGGGTGCCTCAGCCCCTGCGGTGCCCTGGGGTACAACTGCCTGCCTGGGATGTCTGAGCCAGGAGTTCCCCTTCCCACCCTCCTGGTGGGACCTAGTCCTCTGAGCACCCAGAAGGGAGCCGCCCCAGAATACTCCGCTTGGGAGGTGTCCCTGGTAAGGGTGTGGGTGCTTTCAAAGCCATGCCAGACGTGTCCATGGGAAACTTGTTTTATGCTCGATGCTGCTGAGCTCCAGCAGAAGAGCCAAAGTTGCTGGGAGGACTGGGACAGTCCTGATGCCCCAGTGTCCGCCAGCCCCCACAAGGCATTTGGAGCCAGGGGTGCCTTTGAAAGCATGACCCTTGCTGGCGCTGGCGAGGCCAGGAGTCAGGGGCCAGGCTGGGGGGTGCCTGGGGTGTGTCAGTGCGTGGGGAACTCATCCCTTGTTATTCATTCGCTGTTTCTTGGCTTTGCACCAGGTTTCAGGTTCACGCAGGTGTTGGCCCGTTTGCCTTTTTGATTGCGGTGCTCTGCGGCAGCCGCGCTGGCGATGCGGGGCTCGGGGCGGTGCCTCTGGCTTTCCCCCTCCGGCGTCTCGCTGTCACCGAAGCAGTGAGCCCAGCCCGTCCACCCGAGCTGGTGCAGCTCTGTGCATGCACGAACACCTTCCCTTTTTGCCAAACTTTGCAAAGAGCGATTTGAATTCTGCTGTTCTATAAAAAAAAGGCTTGAGGCCCCACTGTCAGATCTCCCGGCGGTTGTTCCTGCCATTTAGACGCAGGTTGGATTTGGAGAGGGCTTTGTGCAGTGGGTCAGGGCTCTCCTGGCTTGCTGGGGCCACAAACACAGCTGGGTCTGGACATCGGTGCCTGATGGGCGACGTCTTCTTGACCTAACGATGCTCTGAGAGGACCCCCAGGTCCAAAGCAGCTGCAGTTCAATCTGCTGAGTCCGAGCTCCACATTGGGGCATGCACCAGCCCTGTGTCGCCCCGTTGGACCACAACCCCGGGCTGTCCCACAGTGCTTCTGGTCCCCAAAAGCCCCGTCCCACCAGGCCCAGACCCTGCAGCCTTTA